TTGTCAAATTGTGCAAATGAATCAAAAGGGCTCAAAGCACCCATGTATTCTAGTAATTGGGTGCTTGTTTCACTAAATCGATCCCGATATTCTGTAAGTTGCATATCTACCACTGTGTTGAAGATTTCAACCTCAAAATGAAACCTATTAGTCTTTGTAGTCCTACGGTTTCTCGCACCAATATACAACTCTTCCATATCTAAAGTTTCAATTTCGTGTGTTTGACAAAAAGAGGATACTTTTGGCAAAATGCTAGCAAACCCTATGTTTCTAAAAGACTGCAATGCCTCCATTGTCCCTCTAACCATCGAAACCGCTTCCAAAATGTCTAGATCTTTTCTTTGAAGTTGATTTGACAATGTACCCGTGAGGTGTAAAATATCATACATCATATGTAAGTAAAACATGAACTCATATGATTTAAAATATGCTAAGATTCCAGATGCTTGTTGACGGTTTGCCAATGACCCTCCCTCCTCTTTCACAAAATCTAAAACTACAAGAACATCTGCAAACAACTTCATCAAACTTGTGAGTGTGTTGAAATGTGAACCCCATCTTGTTTCTCCCGCTCGAACAAGTGTAGTCTCTTGATTTAACCCTCTTCCTGTTTCAAGATCACCACTACACAAGCCTTTTTGCACCCTTTCTCTTGCTTGCTCTCGTAGTAAGTCTTTTCTTTTACACGAGGCACAAACAACATTAACCACCAACGAAATTTGCTCAAAAAAGTCACTAACACCATCATGCTTTTTTGCTACAACCACAACTACTAGTTGAAGTTGGTGTGCAAAGCAATGTACATAAAAAGCCGTGTCATTCTCTTGTAATATCAAAGCTTTCAAACCATTGAATTCCCCTCGCATATTGCTAGCCCCATCGTAACCTTGTCCTCTTATCTATTAAAATTTAAAACAATTAATATATATATATATATATATATATATAATTAAATTGAAAAAAAAAAGTAAAGAATAAATTACCTGACTAAAACTCAACTCATTACTTGTAAGTACTTCATTTATGGCGTTTTTGAGGGTTAAAGAAGATGTATCCTTCACGTGCACTATTCCTATGAATCTTTCTTTCACAAAGCCAAGACTATCGACATAACGCAAAACAATAGCCATTTGTTCCTTTTTTGAAACATCACTAGATTCATCAACTAGTAAAGCAAAAACATCTTGACCAATCTCTTCACGAATACTCAAAAGTACTTCTTGTGCAAAACATTGCACAAGTTCTTTTTGAATTTTAGGGGAAAATAGTTGATTGTTTTAGGAGCATTTTCTAAAGTATTGTTGAAAATATCTTCACTAGTCTCTCGAATGGCTTTTAACACTTCAATGTAAAGCCCTCTATTTTCCGAGTTAACCGACTCGTCATGACCACGAAACGGTAAACCGGTTTTTAATAAAAGTCTAACAACAATAATAGAAACACGTAATCGAGCTTTATATTTATTGTCCTCCGCTTCGGTTTGCCTCCTCAAGACTACATTAATTGCTTGTTTTTCCCTCATTAAAAACTCACACTTTTCTCTTGCTTTGTTGTGAAAACTATCAACACCACCCACATGAGTCCGAAATGCATCTTTTTTATTCCAAGTATCAAAACCTTGGGAAACAAATGCATCTCTCCCTCCTTTTTGTCCCATGAGGTCCCCACACAAATAACAATATAAACAATATGCACAATTCTTTTTCACACTATATTCCAACCAATCAAAGTCATTAAACCATGAAGGAACGAATCTTCTAAATCTATCACCTATTTTTTTTTAGGAAAATTATGTGCCCTTACTTGACACGGTCCTTGAAGCACATATGCTCTTCTTACATCATCTCTTATATTTGAATTGTAACTTCTAATCAATGGCCTATCCGCCGGGTCCTTTGGAAGATCTTTCAAGTCAACGTTATCATCAGGTTGGTTAGAACATGGTGTTTGTGGAGTTGGATTAGAAACCGAAGGGATTGAATGATTGGTGCTTGGTGTTTGTCGAGTTGCATTAGGATTAGAAACGAAAGGAATTGATTGATTAGTGATTGGTATTTGGGAACATTCTTCACCACTTTCATTAGGATTAAGTCTTTGTCTTTTGGTAAAAAAAACCACTTAGTTTAACCTACAAAAATATAACAATTACACCTAATCAAATAATAAAACAAGTTGCTTTCACCTATTCAAACAAAAATTCAATAAAAACTTAACAATTACACTTAATCAAACAATGACTTCAATAAAACAAGTTGCTTTCACCTAATCAAACAAAAATTCAATAAAAACTTAACAATTACACTTAATCAAACAATGACTTCAATAAAACAAGTTGCTTTCACCTAATCAAACAAAATTTCAATAAAAACTTAACAATTACACCTAATCAAACAATGACTTCAATAAAACAAGTTGTTTTCACCTAATCAAACAAAAATTCAATAAAAACATAACAATTACACCTAATCAAACAATGACTTCAATAAGACAAGTTGCTTTCACCTAATCAAACAATCAATTCAATAAAAAACATATGAATTTCACCTAATCAAACAATCAATTCAATAAAAAAAAACATAGCAATATATGAATATAACCTAATTAAACAATATAACTTCAACAAAACAAATCAATTTCACCCAAGTCAATCAATAACTTTAAAAAACATATCAATTTCAAATATCTAAATGAATTGGTAAATGGTAATTGGTAAAACTTACTTGCTTCATTGTAGAAATTGAAAGAAGACAGTTAGATCAACTGCTTCAAGAAATCGATCAAGATTCAAGGCAAACAACAAAATCGATTTTGGGCTGTGATTCACGATCAAGAAGACAGAATTAGGCTGTGACTCGATAGAATATAGAAGTCATCCAGATTCCAGGGGCTGAGGGGCGATCGACATTGATTATTTGATTAGGCAATCGATTGGAGCCAAGAACTGAGAAGTTGAGTCGACGTCTGGAGTGGAGATCGACTGGAGGCAAGGCAACGATCGGGTTTTTTTTTTTTTTTTTGCTTGTACCGATCATTAATTAGATACTAAAATAATTGGGATGGGCTATCTTTTTTACAAGCAATTAGCCCAATTGCTAATTTATCCACTTAAGTTTTATTTTGGGCTTTGGCTAATTGGACTATTAGATAATAATCGATTAAAACATTGGATTGTGGGCTCGTTATTATTTTTTTCGTTTGGTAATTCCCGATAGAGTGACAATTTTTTTTATGTAGTTGCACAATTTTTTTAGTAGTTGCACGATTTTTTTACGTAGTGGCACAATAGGTAAAAATTTTAAAAAAAAAAAATTCTACTATGTACGCGGAAGCTAGGTGTTGCCGGTGCCACACCGGGCACCTACAAAGGACCACCCCTGGTTTCACCTCATTTTCAGCCTCCCTCTCCTAGAGGGAAACCCTAGCCCCTTTTTGGGTGTTTTTGAGAATCTTGTCATTTTGGTGTATTTTAGTGGAAGGGTCAAGATGTTGAGGTGTAAGCAAGTCAGATCCAGTAAGTGTGCAACTTCCTCTTCGGTTCTGATCCTAACAGATCCTAAAGCAACAATTATTAAGAGGAATAACCCAACCTGATGAATCGTTTGAGCAACTATTTGAATACACAAGTACGGGTGTCCTTGACCAGTGTAAGTCATATATACGCAACCAATACTCAAATATTTGATAATATGGTATCTCATTTTATCTACGTACATGGGTTATAAGTCCATGCTAGCAATGTAATTCACTAGACCGCCTAGAATAGTCAAGTGTTCTTATTCACTATGGTCGATGAGCCAGACATACTTGTCAGTTGTCTGATCTAGACCCACCATTTTTGGTCATCCAAGAAAGAGGAGAAACACTCCGCTCTGATCTCACACACTCTACCTCAGTCATGAGACCTATTCGATGCCAAGCTTAATTTGAACTAAGCAACCTATACAAGTCTTATTCTTAAACCTAAGGTAAGACTTATAACTAAGGGCAATCGATTTCCGTTATGGTTTCTAATATAATAGAATTATCCTAATTACATAATAGCATATAGCACAGATAACATAGGAAAGCATTATATAAATAATGCTTCTATTTTTAGATTACGATCTTGATAATAACTATGCACTCACCTGACAATAGTGTCTGGTGATTGGTGAATCGGGCATAGCTTCGCCTTACACCTTTTCCAAATGAACTAGATGTATATAACACTAAGTCTTAGTCTAACTTCATGATTTATGAACTACTCTCCTAAGGGTTTAGATTCCTAAAATAAGGAATAACCAGGTAGGATGGTATTAGAGGTAGGGTCTATTTGGTATACAGAGTATAGTATTTGGAAATCTCACTTTAAACACCTTGTTAAATCTAGCCTAGACATCACTCTGGTAAGTAGATCAAACAGTATAACGACTTGGAATCATTGATAAATATTACTTATATGTGACTTGGAATCATTGATAAATATTACTTATATGTTCCTAGTAATGACTTATAATTATAATTATAAATTACACGGAAGCAGAGTAAGTGTATCTCACTTACAGAGGACTACCGATGAGACCAGGATCTAAGTAGGAAGAATATTGACTCGGGGTCTCCTGCTCGAAGGCTACTACTCAGACGAGTACTTAGGGGCTTCGCCGCAGAGCATAAACGAGGGAAAATCGACTTAAAGTAGAGCAAAAGTCGAGAGAATATCGACTGAAATGGTGTGAGGATGAATGAGTGAATGGGTTGCTACTTATAGCAGGTTTCTTGGGATGCGCATCATGCATGCCATAGGGCGCGTCATGTTCTTGGTCGGGACATACTGACGTGGCGAAATGTTGGTCTGACACGTGGAGAAAAGTGGGTGGGCCTGTGTGGGCTTGTCGGTCCGTTTTCGACATACTTTCTCTTGTTGGACTCCTATCAATGAGTTCTTCAGCTCTTGTTTAGATTATTTTGATTAAAAATCGACTGATCTAAAATTCGGTTTTTTGAGTTGTATACTGCTAAATATGAGTTCTTCCCCTCTTGTGGGATTAGGGAGTGGAGTTTTCATTGTGGTGCAAGGTGCTTTAAAAGTTGTATCATGCAAATTGGCAAAACATGAGAAAGCATGCATAGACAATCAACAGACGTTTATACCTTTTGCATTTGATATTTTTGGTTTCTTGCGTCAGATGTTGTGGAGCTCCTCACTAGAGTTCAACGGGTCATGCATAGTAACGCTATGACCCCAAGATCTATGGATGTTGTTGTTTTTAAAAAAAAAAAAAATAGTTTTTTCATCCAAAAGAGGGTTGCAACACAACTTGTTGCTCGTTACCCGCTATGTTTATGTAATATTTTCCTTAAGAAAAATGTAATTAATCACTGCCTCTTATTTGAATAAACCACGGAATAATTTTTTTTCTATATTAACCAGTAAGAGTTTGAATATTGTTTGGTAATTCTCAATCTAAGAAGTTGATATAAAAAGGAACGCAAATATCAATCTAATGCATCTACATTGTGACATGTTAAACATGGTAATGACTAGAAATGTTCAAGCAATCACTATAATATTTCCAGCCAATCCCGTCCCCGTAAGTTCGATTCGTTCCTTCCTCAACTACAGATTTCTGTTAGGGAGATGATTTGTACATAACAATTTTTCTCCATACACAACAATTGGTGTTTTAAAATGTTGTACTGTACAACTCAATAATACATAAATTGTTGTGTATGATAAAAAACTGTTATACGAATCACTTCCCTTTCTGTTATTACTTAAAAGAATTTTTAAGATTTTATTGATAAACATTTGCCATGCCAATATGATATTGCCAAAAGTGGGCCGGACCAAAATAAGGAGACAGTGTAGTTCCGACGGGCCAAGTCAACATGGCATTAGAGGTTTTGGGCTTGCTAATGATCCAGCAGAAACTATGATCTCAATCTTTACAACGAGTTTCTTTTTAGAGAAAGAAAAAAAAAGGATTATTATTATTTCAAAAAACGATAAATATTCCTTTTTCCCAACATAAACAAATCGCTTTTGGTTTAAAATCGGATGAGTTTGAAATCAAATTTTGGCCAAGAAGTCCAAACATATCTAAGGAAGTCATTTGTACACAATATTTTTTTACATAAATAACAATTTGCGTTTTCCATAAATAACAATTTGCGTTTAATAGAGTTGTACAATATAAAATTTTAAAACATAAATTATTGTGTACGGAAAAAAAGTTATTGTTTATGAATCAACTTCCAAACCGAGATAAGTTAAAATCGTACCATATGAATACCGGATTTTGGTGGCGATATTCATATTGCTAATTCTTCCTCGCGTATATATTTGTACCACCTTTTCAATTTCACCTTCAAGCAAAAGTATGTTTGTCACCATTGTGTGTTATCCGAGTAGTTCTTTATGCAAATGCATAATTCCATCGAGTGGGAGTGGGGTAATTCAAATATTTTTGAATTTTTTTTTGTGAAATCCAATTTCTATTTTTGACAAAAGAAATGTTGTTGTCGATTAAACCCAAATTATAGATTATATTTTCAATTGAAGTTTCTATCCCACCAACATATATAGTGGGGTCACGGTCTCACTTTCTCTTATCCTAGATCCGATTTCTCCCTTTCTCTAATTCTCTGTCGTCTTCTCTTTGCACTCGTCCCCTTCTGGTATTATCATTTATCAGTTATCACAATTGTCTTTATAAAATATGTTCTCCTTCCACAGTTAAATATGTTTATTTCTTTTAAAAGATGTCATCAAAAGCTCATTTATAATATATGGCGTGTTCGGCAAAACTAATGGGTAGCGGTTAACGGTTAACGGATAGCTTTTGATTTTGGAACATTTTGTTTAGGTTAAAAGTTAAACGATCATGTCGCCAAACGAGTCTTGTTCTTTTTTACTAGCGTTTTCTTAAAAACTAAAAGTTAGAAGCTTCTAAACGTTGTGTGCCAAGCATGCCCATAAACATTGTTTCATCAAATAAAATGTTACACCAAACACACATACATACATGGGCTCATTGATTTCAAAGGCCTTGTGCATAAAAATAAAAATGAACTCATAAATATATATCTTTTTATACGTAAAATTCTTTAATAATACAATAAGTTAATAAATGAACAATCAAATAACATATATATATATATATATATATATAGAGAGAGAGAGAGAGAGTGTTAGGTTCATTTGTTTAAACTAAGTATTGTGTTATCATATGCATAAATGTGGACCAATCAAAACTAAATAAAAACTTAAATAATTAAATAAATAAATAAGGGTAATTTAGTAATTTGTTAGTAAATTCCAAAAATAATCCTTATAATCATGGTATTGATTAAATTAATAAGCGTGTCTTCCTCAATTTCCCACCAGATAAAGCCCTAGCATCCTAGAGGGTATCAGCGCTTTTCCTAGAGCTACTCAAACTCAAAATCAATAATCGGAAACTTCATCGGGGGATAAAGACGAGCATTCAGCACTTAAAGCGGGATTAAGAAAAGTTAAGATCTTCAAGGAGTACGTCTCGATTAAAAGATGCAAAAAAGCCTCCAGCAAGGATGATAATGAAATTAGCGAAAGCAGGAGTGACGAAGGTGACTATTCCAATTCCAATTCCAATCTTGTTGACTCTGAATCAGGTGATGATTACGATGAGAGTGAGCGTTACTCACCGGAAAATGACCTGACCGCTTCGAGTTCTGAACAGAGTATAACTCAGATTTTGAAACGCAGCATCTTACCATGGAAGAAGAGGAAATTAAATTTCAAATCACCACCGAAGGGAGAACCGTTGTTAAAGAAAGATTACGGTGAAGAAAGTGGATATGATATTGATTTTGACCGGCGGCAACTCAGCTCCGATGAGTCTCTAGTTAACCTACCTCAGGTAATTCTTCCGGCTTTTGAGTTTGGGGACGACAGTTTTGTAATCAGGAATTGGGAACAGAGGGAGATAATCTTCGGGCTTCGATGTGTTGACAGAATATTTTTTGGGACATGCTTTTTGCATTCAGGTTTGAGTTTTTATCATTTTATTATTTTGTATCTCATTCAATGTATTTTTTGGGACTTGCTTTCTGCTTTCTGCATTCAATGTATTGCTAGAAGGGTATTTTTGTCCATGGGGTATTGCATATATGTTATTGTCTCTTAAAATGTGTCACTGTTTGGTGTTGCTTTGTTCAATTATTTGAATTGCTAATTCTTCTTGGAAATTGTTAAATTGCTTAGGGTGCTATACAGTTTTAGAGCTCAAATTGTTAAATCACTTATTAAAGAATATGAACTTTTTATTTTTTTTTTTGTTTTTTACGCATTTATTTCATAAAATTCATGAATATGTGTTTATTTTGTTACATATATGTTTCATATGAACTCTAATTTTACGAGGTGAAAGATCGACTGTGTCATAAATATAGAAGCAAGAACCAAGTTTACCATCTCTAGTAGTGTTCTTTGGCAAGAAAACAGAATTGGGTATGTTCTTTTTATTGGGTTTTACTAGTTAAATAGATTTAAAAAAAAATCGATTCTCTTGATGATCTTATTGTATAGTTGTGAATTTTGATAGATCTGGAGCACATTGTGATTTAAGGGAAAGAAAACATAAACGTGTGGTACAATTCTTGAGATTGATATGAAGAAAGATAAAAGGAACCATGAATTCCAATTATGTTGGAATGGAATCAAGAATTCCAATTCTGTTGGAATGGAATCATGAATTCCAATTCTTTCTAATCTTTACATAGTTGTATGAATTGTGAGACTTTTCTAATATTTTGGAAGCGACATTGGTCACCATTCACTAACTTTTTCATAATCAATACCCGTTAATATATCCTTATCAATAGTTATCATTGTTAATTCATTAAATATTTCTTGTGACATAATATAGCATAAGTAGTTTTTAACAACTTTAATTTTGAGAAACTTCTTTTTAGAAGTTGGTCACCATTCAACAACTCTTCATAATCAATATTTGCTAATATATCATTATCAATAGCTATTATTGTCAATTCATTAAGTCGTTCTTGTGACATTATGGATCGTAATTAGTTTTTAACAACTTTAGTTTTGAGAAACTTCTTTCTACAAACGTCACTGTAATTAGGAAAACAATCAATATTTTTCATATATTTTAAAACATCGGAAGGGTTGGTAGTTTCACTCGTTAAGAACTCATCAAACAACTTTAACTCTAGATAACGTTTATTGACATTGAAATTTGATTGTTCACCATATTTAAATGCAGTTTTCACACGGCTACAACAAAACTTAAAATCTTTATCATCAAATTTCTTCAATTTTTTGGAAACAAAAAACCGAAATTCATTTCATATTCTTTGAATTGTACAAATATTATTTTAAGATAAACCCTAATTTAATCAAAAATATATAAAAGAAATAAAATAAAAAATTAAAATTCCCATTAGTTGAAACTACGGTACCTAGATTACTTGAATTCTCATCAAAATAATTTTTTCAATGAACGAAACGCTTAGACGGATATCATACCAATATTCATTTCAATCGAAAATTTTGTATCATCATCAATCGCTTTAGGAACCCTGCTTCTCTAAAATCCACTAAGAATTCAATCAACATATTTATTTCTTTAAAAGCAATATCGAGAAGCATATCATTTGGATAAGGTATGTAAAAGGTAGTACTACTAAAGGCAAAATACCCTTGTTAAATATAATGGTTGTTGGTAAAAAAACGGCTTGAATGATATGACGTATCATTTGGATAACTTATGTAGAGGGTCGCTCCTATATTATTAATAACACATGGAGAAACAATCTAAATTATGCTATGGGAATTTGGGGATAGATTCTGTTATTTCAAAAAACAAAATGATAGAAAATTTCTACTTGGAATGTGTGTTACAAAAAGACCGTTTAGTATGTTGATGATGAGCAATTTGGGCGAATTTGTATGGGAAATTGATATCACGTTCAAATTTTCATCTAGATGAACCGTTGTGAAAATTCGTTTATCAATTAGTTACATCGAATCGAAGGGAACAAAAGAAAAAGCTCAAACAATTTTAACAAAATCAAAAGGTGTCTCTTATCACTAAGACATGAACATTGAAGGATCATAAAACTCTCAAAGTGTCGTATTTTGTGTAACGGTCCAAAAATCAAGATAAAATTTTTCATTTTAAAACAATAGTTACTATCATCACATTGTTCCAAAACCATCACATAATAATAATGTTAAATCATCAGAGTACAATATCAAAAGTGCGGAAAATAGTGAGGAGTGAATGTTGTGTCATCACGTCGGGTCGTTCCCCTTAGTACCGGAAGTACCTGGAACCACAAATATAAACTGTAAGCAAAAGCTTAGTGATTTTCCACAAAGTACCACATATCAAAACATAAATAAGCTAGTTTTATGGGTCAAACCATAGTCTTACAAGCAATTTCCAGCCGAGGGCCAAATCTCGGTCTTCCATACAGTTGTCAGGGGTCAGATCCTCGTCTTTCACACAAATGTCAGGGGCCATATCCCGGTCTTTCATATAGTTGTCAGGGGCCAAATCGTGGTCTTTCGTACACATATCTCAAATATAGCTAACACCGTATATCACAAATAATGGGTCTGCCTTGGTGCCTTCGACCCATTGATACAGTGAGAAAACTCACCTTAGTCTGTTGATAAATAACTAACTACTCGGCTATCGAACCAGAAGATCCCACACTGAACATACACAAATTACCCTAATCATACATAGGTTATAAACCATAATCGTGGGCATAAACTAGGGATGAGATTTAAAACCGGAAAACCGGACCGAAACCAAAACCGTTAGAACCGGAATATATAGAATCGGTTTCAGTTGCAGTTTTAAAAATTGGCTTTATTCGGGTTTCGGGTCATTCGGGTTTGGTTCCATTGGGTCTGGGTAAAACGGGTCTAAAACCCGGAACCGGTGTTAGGAACCGGAACCACTTTTAGGATCGGAACCGATTATTGTGAAACGTTTAAAAGATGCATATCTCATTCGTTTCAACTCCGATTGACATGCTGTTTTTTCCAACACGTGTTTTAGAGTTTGTACATGATTTTAGACTATAAATTTACCATTTTTAGTTTTATATTCATTAACTTACAGTCCCCCAAAGTCGATATATCAAAGTTGTAAGTTTTTAGTTTTTCAGTTTTTTTGTATTCGGTGAAAGTTTTAAAAAATTCATATCTAATTCGTTTGAAATCGGATTGACATGTGGTGTTTTCCAACTTGTAGTTTAAAGTTTGTACATAAGTTTAGACAATAATTTTGTCGTTTTTTTTAAATATTCAATGGTTTACAGTCCTCCAAAGTCGGGATATCAAAACTGAAAATTTTCAACTTACTACTTAGTGGAGGACTGTAAATCATTGAATATGAAACCAAAGTTAACAAAACTTATAGTTTAACATCATGTACAAACTCTAAAATACACTCTGTAAAAAACCACATGTCAATCCAACTTTAAATGAATAAGATATACATGTGTTAACATTTTCACATAATACAAAGTACAAAAACAAATAGCTGAAAAATTCCGACTTCAAAGTTCAACCCACTAAGTAGTAAGTAATTACCAAAAAAATTCGGTTTTTACGAGTTTTTCGGTTCTAAACCCACTTTATTCGGTTCCAACCTACCCACTTTGATGTTTCCGGGTTTTCCGGTTCTATACCCACTTTATCCGGTACCGTACACAGAACCGAACCGAAACCGGTTCCTATTTATCGGTCTGGTTTCCGGTTCTACAAAATCCCATGAACTGGTTTCGGGTTTTCTGGGTCCGGGTCCATCCGGTTCGGGTTTGTACCCACTTTCATCCCTAGCATAAACCCCAAGTCCAAACTCCTAAGATAAAGGCCCATTTACCTTTCCCATAATGGGCCTAACCAACATTAGCCTAAAAACACAATAATGGACTCCAAGGCCCAAAAAGGCCCAACTTAAGCAACTTAAGGCCCACTAACAGAGTTTCGAGACCCACCTACTCTAAACAGGCCAAAGCCCATAAACTAGCTAAAGACCAAAAGGTTCAAGGCCCAACCACAGTCCAAATGCCCACTGAGAGGCGTACACTCGGCATACACGTTGTACGCGCTGCGTACTCATCCGCCTGCCAATACGCGATGCATGCCCTTGGTACTCTCAGCGTACTGAGTTGCTTGCGACCTTAAGCCATTTGGTGCTTAATCCTTACAACCATTTGATCTAACTTTCAGATCTCGACCATTATGGGGTTCTAAGACATAAAGTTGGCAACTTTATGCCTTAGCATGTCTTAATGGAACCTAACATCCATTTTTGTCCAACATCCATTCATGCATAGACTCATATCAACCATCAATATGACACTTTTATGCATCTAAAACATCAAAGGGACTGAGATCTAACACCTCTAACTTCTGGAGTTGCCCAAACTCATAAAAAGAACCCATGGGACCAAGTGAACTCATAAACAAGCCCTAAACTCTAACAATCAAAATGAATAATCAATGTAAGAACTTTTTACCTTCAAAAGCTTCAAAAGTTGATGAAGTCTCTCGATCTAGAAGCTCAACCTCAACAAATGTTTAGTCCCCAAGTTCCTTCTTCTTGAATACACACTAAAATGCCACAAAATCAATTCAAAGCTCAAGAACACTCAAAGGGGGTGAGCTAGGGTTAGATGGGATGTAATGAACAATGGAGGTTGATGAGGGTGAGTGTCCAAAGACCATAATGTTGTTTAAACAGGGCTTATGCCCTAAAAATTAGGGTTTAGTTTTTAGCTACATACGCCCTGCGTACACCACGTACGCTCAGTGTACGTGGCTAAGCCCTTCGATCCAAAAGCGTGCATTTACACTAAGCGTACCTAAACATACGCCCAGCGTACGAGGGAACCATTTTCGCAAAAAATTCAAACTTCAAGGACCAAAGAGGGAAATACCTGGAATTGAATGTTACATTTTGCTACTAGTATTTTGTTTTCATAATTAAAGTACAAGTTAATACAAGATTTTATTATAGAAAAACGAGATATAATTGGTTTTGGTTGTATTGATCTTGAAATTTTGAGAGCAAGTATTGATCTTAATAACTTTTTTAGTTTATGTTGTATTGATCTACAGAATAAATGGCGTTATTTTATTTTATTTTTGTAATGTTGGGATTAGTTGAAACTAATCCCAAAACCAAGGTTTATATTTGGTCTACACACCTCAAAGGTTCTTGTCATTGTAAAAAGACATACAAGATTTATGTGTTGTCATATTTAGTTTCTCTTACTCGGTGAATGAGGAATATACCTATCAAGGTTAACATTATGGCATGACGTTTGTCTTTAGATCAACTCCCAATTAAAGCTAATCTAGAGAGTCGTGATTTGGATGTTCCTTCGTTGTTGTGCCTATCTGTGAAGTTGGGATAGAGTCATAGAGATAGCTAGTCATTTGTTCTTTACTTGCTCATTACCAAATGAGCTCCTTTTCTAGATTTTTAGGTGATGACTTATCACATCGCATCCCATTGGTTCGTATGCGAACTGGTTGTCGCAATTAACATCTCTATGTTTCTGAAATTGTCAAAAAATATTTGGAGGAGGTCTTATTTATATTGTAATGCTAGTTTTTGAAAATATATTAAATGGGTTGGGGCTTCAAAGATTACAACTAGCTATTATTTTATGTTTTTGTTTATTTTGGCTAGCTTCTTACTAGTTTATTTTTTCCGTCAATAAAATTTTGCCATTATAAAGATACAATAACCATAAATGGAACTGATTTAACCGACTTTAGGCAATAACTAAAACCGATTGGTTTGACTTAGATCCCAAATCAAGTCATGCACACCTATAATGAAAATAAATAGAAATAACTTTACTATGTAATTTAGACATAGTAATTACATGCTTTAAAATTCTAGATAATTTGTGTCTAATGTATGGATATCCAAACAATTCAAACACAATCATGTTTTCCATCACTAGCCACGTTCTCCGATTTAGACAATAAGCCATAATGGTTAGATACGTATGTGTTAAGCTATGTGAAGTTGTCTAGACATCGCATGTTGAATTTACTCCATATTTCAATTTTTCAAAACATGAATCGTTTCAAAGAGTAATTTCCACATTTTAATTGAATCTCTTCTAAGAACACAACTTGCACAATAACATGGCTGAAGGCGTTAGTATGAACTTTGTCAATCGTTGTTGGTCAAAGTGGCAATCGACAATCTTTCTTGCATCCCAAATTTCGTTATCCTTAAAATGTTGTCTTGCAAGATCATTCTTGCTTTGACTTGAATCTGTTGTCAAAATTTCAAGGTTCGTTTTATAGGCAATACGTTCACAACCGTTGCATTGGTTATCGATGCACCCCAAACACAAGATTTTCGCAACTACCCACAGTTAGATATTATTTAAACGAAATGAACAATTAGAGTATGAAATATCAAATATTACAAAAATACCCCACAAGTAGAGGCTCAACATAAAGGAGATTGCACGTTATAAGTAAGCATTATCCATGTGAAAATTATTAGATTTTGGACCCGGAATATAGATGGGACAGGTAACGGAGTTCAGATCATAGCGTGCTTTTATTTTGGAACGACTTGAGTTTACCTATCAATATCTTTTTGTCAAGTTTTTAAATGTTCTTAACTTATATTTATACTAAGACAAGATATTAAGTATGATTATAAGAACCGTATTACTATATCAAAATGATTTAATTCAATAAAATGATTGAGAAGCTCGTAAATATTTAAATATAAATTAAATTACTTTTTGTACAAAATCACAACGACCCAACACCAATTGAATGACTTTAGGCCGAAAATGATGTTGATAATTGTAAGACACCGAACATGATGTTGTACTGTTCATTAACACTAATTTGGTTTTGATTTCAACTTCTAATTTATTTATTTTTATATTATTGTTTGTCCGATAATATTCTATAAGTAATATCGTCACTCGTGATGATAGATTATACATTAAATTGATATTACATATTGTATATTAAACTTAAACTTTTATATTTCAAACTTACTTAAAAAATTAGTACTTTACAATACATTTTATAATAGAACATAATCAAAGTACATATTACAATGCTCATAATCTAATTAAAAGTTGTTTAGAAAATCACAAAAGTTGGAAAATAAAAAAAGGAACTCTTTTTGGTACTAAACATAGCGTAAAGAATCGGAACAAATTACTGTTTTCACCAAATATTATACAATTGTTATCATTTTGAGACAAAAAAAAAATATAGTATAATGGGCCCACATTACATGGCTGGCCTTTCATCCCTACTAGGGTGGTCCAAACCAGCCCACCTAGAGTCAAAAGATTGGGCCCGTGTTAGCCCAATAAAGATTGAACGTGGGCCATGGTGAGTATTAAATAACAGTTGTACTTGTACACATAATAGCAAGAAATGAATTTAGTCAATGCTAAGTCAACATATAAAAAGTCAAAAGGAACGTTATCTTCTAGGCTAAGAAAAACCAGCTTTTGGATGCTAAATGCAAGCAATAGCAATATACTTTTATTAATTTTTTTATTATTGCATCCTACTTTTAATTTTTTTTTTTCTATTACAACATTTTTTACTTATTTGCATATTGTAATTTAAATGAAAGTACAACACTATACTGGATTTTCAAAGTACAATGTTACAATAAGAAGAGAAGAAAGTAGGATGCTATAATAAACAACATTAACAAAAGTAAATTGTTATTTCAATGCATTTAAGTTTAACCTTAAAATAAAAAGGAAAACTATCTATTATTAATCTATTAGATACCCTAAAAGTCATGAATCATGCAAATATATTAGTCAATAACATCACTTTCATAAGCCTGCAGGCATAGTTGGTGCATCCAAAGTCCAAACTCACCAAATTAATCACAGAATCTTTCAAGATTCCTTTTGTTTTTTCAACTTTCTATGAACATTTTTTATAAATTCCGTAAATTTTCATGAAAAAACATACCTTTAATGTTTGTTTTCTTGCGAATATTTAACTATCTTCGTTGATTGCTTCATCTGTCTCGATCTGAAATCCATTTTAAAATAAATCAAAAATAGACAGATGAACAAAACGTTGATAATTTAAATAGATGACTTACAGAAGTGACATTTGCCCACATTAAATCTTGTACTCCATGCATTAGATTCGGTATGATAATTACATTCTTGGTTTAATAATCACTTTGATATTAAAATCCATCATCCTCATAACCAATTAACTAATTCCACATTTAATGCTTGATTTGTTTATTATCTCATTTATTCCTATTACAACATTGTATTATAACAAAATATAATATAACAACATTGTACAACGCTTAAATAGTGTCAATTTTTCAAACTACAATTCCTTAACAAGAAGAAAAAAAATTAAAAGCATAATGTGGTAATAGAAAATAAATGAAAGTATGATGCTATAACTGTGTGTGTGTGTGTGTGTGTTTATTAGGCAGAGAAATGGATCTGAAAGCAGCAATGAACAAAATTTGAACTTTCTATTGACACATTACAAGGAACTTCCTATTTTTGCCAAATTTATTGCAAATGTACAACATACAAATTGACAACAAGATTTCAACCAAAATCTAAACTTTTTTTTTCTTTGTTTCTTCAACAAATTTTTGAAACATAAAGATTAGAACCCAACTGACCTCCCGATGGATCAAACACAAGCAGCACCACCGAAAACCTTGATCAAACTTGAAGCATTTCTCCTAACTTTTTCATTATCATCATCCAAGAACCTCAAACAAATGTCAAATGCACCTTCCTTCAATGCCTCCATACAAATTACTTCACTACTCAAACAAAGTAAATTCAGTGTCATGAGTGCATATTGAACACCTCTCCAACTCCCATTACGTATAACATGAATCAAACTCTTTACACAACCATTAAACCTGACCATTTCATCTCTCCCTCTTTTACATTTCGCCAATAAACCCAATACTTCAACCGCCCTTTCAAGCCCGGAATTCAATGAAATCACTAAGATTTCCACCGCCCCACATTCCACCGCTCGTCTCCGGTTATCCGGAAAAGAACAAAGGGCGTAAAGAGCGGTGGCAGCTTCTTTCCTCTCGCGTCCTCCGCCCTCTCTCAAAAGCGTAACTAACCCTCTAATCGCAAAAGGGTATGCGCCGATTGTTGCTTTATTGACTTCCACCACCGCTAGACTCGTCAACACCGTTGCCGCCGTTGCCCTACAATCTGCAGACTCTCCGCCACATAAAGCAGCAATGATACTACAAATTGCACCCTCTGCCACCAAACCCACCTTGTTGTCATCATCTAAGCTCAAATTCAACAGCAATTTTAAAGCTTTCTCCTGCAAAGTAATATAATTTTTCCTCGAAATACAAGCCAGAACGGCCGCTACAGCTCCTGACTCGGTCAGCCGTTTCCGAAGCTCGAAATCGCGTTTTGAAAGCTGACAGAGCTGTTCAATCGAGACAAGCTTAGCCTCCGGCGACGACGATTTCGAAGTCAAGTTAGAAATTAGGGTTTCCGGGTCTCCTCGGTTTTGATTAGGTTTTGATAAATTGAGGGTGGTGTAGCTGGAGATAAGGCTGCGAAGGGCGTGGTTAGGGATTAAAGAAGGAGGGTCGGAGAGGGGTAATTTGGAGATAGGACAAGTACGGTGGCCTGCGTCAAGCCACCGTTGGATTGAGGAGCGGTCGAAGGTGTGGCCGGAAGAAAGGATGACCGGCTCCGACATTATCTCAAGAGAAATCGGGCATTTGAAGTCGTCTGGATAGTGGGTGGTGGTGGCGTTTGTTGTTGTTGCCATCGAGAGAAGACTCTTTGTTTCTCTTTCTCTCTCTATATCAATCTCTTTCTAGATAGTATTAGATTTCAATAAATCCATGGAGTTGAAAAAGAGGTTTATGAGGTTTAGCTTCATCTAGTTGTGAGGTGGAGGAACTAAGTTTCACAAATCCCTTTTTTTCTTTTATTTTATTTTTTAATTTTATTCAAACTTTACTCTCTCTCTCATTCGTTTTTATACATATTTTTATACTATTCCACGACGTGGAAGGCAATTTTATAACGACTATAAATATTCTTGATCTCTATGAATTTGAGAGGTTGGCTGGTGAAAGAAGGTTTCCAAAAGTCGATATTCAGAAGGTTAGAAGGTGAGGAAATTGGTTTGAATACTAAAGAAGAAGAATAAGTTCATAATTACTTTCTAGTTGTGGTATTTTACAATGTTTTTTTATTATGACTTGTTTGTATTTACCTGTTAGAATGAGTGGCTAAATCTAATTGCTTCTGTTAGCTAGATGAAGCTGGAATTCATGATTTGTTTATAAAAAGTTAGACTTTTCTTGTTGGTTAATGTATTGTGTTTGATTGGTTATACGTAGCATGCTTAATTTGATACTTGATTGGTTTAAACTCTTATTGTGTGTAGTTAGTGACCAATAACCTGCATGAATTTGAATACCTAGTAATTTAGTGAACATTAGATTATTAGAGCTAAAATTTAACCAATCTTAGATAAGTAATTGAAGTATTGAATTTGGTTGTGCTGGAGAACTCATATTATGAACATAACTATGTTTGTTAACTCAATCTTACATAGCTCCAATTCTATTTAATAGCTAATTATGTGTTAAATTATGTGTGGCTATGCTTAGATCTACATGAATTAATTCAATATTAGTTAATTTGGAATTAAATGTTAATAATATCTTAATTGGTAACCAACAGGATTTGTCATAATTAATAATTAAACCATTGAGGGAAAGTAGATTCAAACTAAAAAGAAATGTTTTTATAATATTGATTGAATAGATGTTGACATATTAAGTTCATTTAAACTTGCAAAATTAGATAAAACCCAAGACTTTGCTAGAATTCTAGGTTAACTTGAGAGTAGGTAGATTAATTAATTAAAATCATTCCCTGTGTTTGACCCCGACTTATCTAAACTACATTACAATCCGACTAGGTACACTACCTAGGTGCATATTAGTTAAGTTAGTTAGGATATAAATTTAAAATTAGTACGTACTCATGCACCACATCAAGTTTTTGGCACCCTTACCAAAAGTTTTTTTTTAATTAATTTTTTTTCATTTTTTTTAACCAACAAGAAAATTCTAAGTTTTTATAAACAAACCATGAGTTCCAGCTTCATATAGCTAACAGAAGCAACTAGATTTAGCTACTTATTCTAATAAGTAAACACAAACAAGTCATAATAAAAAAAAACATTGTAAAATACCACAACTAGAAAGTAATTATGAGTTTATTCTTCTTGTAACATCTCATTTAAAATAGAATAATTAAATAATAAATTCAGAACCCCGAACAGCAATTATTATAATTATTATATGTTATTATAGTCCAAAATCAGATAATAATTAGTGCAGTGTTGGTTTCGGGGTGCCAAATGATATACTTTGATTTACGATGGTTAAAAGTGTGAGTTTTCCGATGGGTTTCGTAAATAATTATGAGGGCAAGGACTATCGGATAATTATTGGGACTTAATATGAAGAGATGTTGGAACCTAAGGGCTAAATGGTAAACTTCGGACCCAATTTGTGAAGAGCTTTGATGGCGGGGGGGGGGGGGGGGGGGTAAAAAGGGAAAATATGGATCTTCTTTGAA